ACATTCCATGTTTCTGCTCCTTAGTCACTACCGGACATGCATGAGTCAGACTGAGAGGTGGGGAAATTGCCAGGCTGCTCATGGGACCACTGAAGGTATAGTCAGGCCCATAGATGTGATCTTGCCATGCTTCTTTCTCTTTCAACTCATCTTACACTAGGAGTGATAGGTGATTTCTTTACCTTTGGATAAAGAATGTAGTGAATCATCCTATAGACCATGAATTAAACTGGAAAACAACTGGCAATTATCTAGTGCTTATGAATGGTGGGAGCAACTAGTCTGAATGTGATGGACCAAAATATGCTGCCCACAATTCTCCCAGTGGCTTAGAAAATTAGGTCAATGGAAAAATTCCGTATTCTGGGTTTTGTTTTCTTTGTGTCTAAGCTTGACCAGGTAACAATGGCTGTACATACCATGTTTTAAGGATCTTTGTCCTACTTAGTAAGCCTACTGAGGTCCTACTTAGTAAGCCCCTGGCCCAGGGAACTGTCTCCTGGTGGTCTGGAAGAAATCTTGAATTTCTCGGGTAAACTCGATCGAATCTACATGAAGGATGACAGTCAGTTCTAACTGTAAATGAGCAGACTAGCCATCTTGGCCCACCTTCAATAACACATAATAAGTAGAGATTCAGACACACTGGAATCCTATTCCATGCACCCAGAAAGAAACATGCTGGCCAGACTGACCAAGAGTGATTGCTGAAAAGTTTCATAAATCCTAACTTGCATGTTGCATTTAGAGACAGTTCCACTTATATCTTGAGGAAATCCATCTGCTCATTGGGCTTCTGGACCATTTTACTAAATCACAGGTCACAAACCGACAGAGACATATGTATGTTCAGTTCGATATACACAAAATTTTTTCTTTTCTTTCTTTGTTTTAATGCTTTCAGGTGCTACAAACTGTCTAGTTTGCCCCAGGTCCACCACTCCCTATTATGTTACATCCAAAATCATTTGGGTGAGAACCACAGAGTGTAGTGTCCTATTGTACAGCATAAGGAAAAAGCCAAACATTGGCCTCACTGATTTAGCCCCATTCACATTAATTAATGAATTGTATTTCTTTTTCTGGACGAAGACCATACCTTGTTTTTATATATGCAGTTGTTCACATATATAAATTGTGAACGTCTCAGTGTACTCTTGATGTTTGCTATATCCTTTGAAAGGAGTGAAGATGGGGTGCCTGGGTGGCTCAGTCAGGTAGGCGTCTGCTTTCGGCTCAGGTCATGATCCAAGGGTCCTGGGATGGAGCCCCGCATCAGGCTCCCTGCTCAGCACACAGTCTGCTTCTCCCTCTCCCTTTGTGCCTCTCCCTGCTCATGCTCCTTCTCTCAAATAAATAAAATCTTTTAAAAAAAGAAGAAGAAAGGAGTGAAGAAATGAATCAATTAGTTGCAAGCATATTTTAATTACCTGCTAGATGCCAAATGACTTGCAAGAAGCAAAGAGGGAAGGGTGCACATTTATTACATATTTAATAAGTACTAGGAACTTGTGCTAAGCACTGCACAGACATAATCTGTTTTGCTTTGTTTTTTAAAATAATCTTCACGGGCACCTGGGTGTTTCAGTCAGTTAAATGTCTGACTCTTGAATTCAGCTCAGGTCTTGATCTCAGGGTCGTGAGTTCAAGCCCCACTTTGGGCTCCGTGCTGGGCATGGAGCCTACTTTAAAAAATAAAATAAAATATTCTTCAGAGTTACTCTATGAGAAATAGGTATGACACTGTCATCCCATTTTATAGCTGAGGAAATTGAGGCTTGGAGAGCTTGCTCAAGGTCACACAGTGTTTAGCAGAGCAAGGTTTCAGACCTAGCTCTTTCTGATTGCAGATAGAAACTTGACCCTTATTTGTCTGGTCATGCTGCCATAAAATACTAATAGCTTATTAAGGGCGTATTTCTGTGTCTTATTATATACATTATCGTCATTTAACTTTCAAAATAAGTATATGAAAGACTATTATTATCCCAGTTTTATAGTGAGAAAACCAAGAAGTCAAAAAAAAACAAAAAAAAAACAAAAAAAGCTTAAATTTACATAACTAATAAAGGCTAGAGCTGTGACTCAAACCCAGGTCTTACTCCAGAGTTAATGGCCTAATGTGCCCCCTTCCACACAATGGAAGCTACTATTAATATGTTTTAAAAGCGGCCAAAAAGAAAGTCTGCATAAGATGTATTTATATAGCAATTCATAATAGAAGAAAGCTACTTGGATATGGATTTTTTTCTCATAAGCCTCTCCATAGTATTTCTGGGCATATCCATTTTATAAAGAGGGCTAAGTTGAATATGTTTTTAATTTTCTTAGAACAGCTACTCTTTAGGAATGTCTTTCACTTCTTAAATGTCCACATATTCAAGTAGATTTAAGGTTTCTCCATCAGGGCTCTAAAGAATAACAACCACTGCAGGTGATACCCTCTATATCCCTTTAGGGAACAATTTAAGAAGTGCAAGACAGATGTCCAGCCAAGTCCTGTAACTACACCAAAATGTAGCATGTCGTGATAGGATTACATATGAAAGAAGAGTGAATGATACCACAAGAGAATAAATTATAAGTACCAAATGAGTGCAAAAAAGTAGATGTTATAGTAGTTTATAGGAGAGCAAGATCTGCTGCAGCTCTGGGGGTCAAGAAAGAGGGCAAAGTGAGACGATTAATAAAGAAGGTTTTGAGTTGTCCAGATATGGTTTTAAATCTACCCATATGACTTTGAGCAAGTAAGTTATTTGATCTCTCTCAGAGATCTGTAAAATGGGAATTTTGAGATTAGATAATAATTTTTTTTAAAGATTTTATTTATTTACTTGAGAAAGAGAGAATGAGAGATAGAGAGCACGAGAGGGAAGAGGGTCAGAGGGAGAAGCAGACTCCCTGCTGAGCAGGGAGCCCGATGCGGGACTCGATCCCGGGACTCCAGCATCATGACCTGAGCCGAAGGCAGTCAGTCGCTTAACCGACTGAGCCACCCAGGCGCCCTAGATAATAATTTTTAAATGTTTCCCACGGTGCCCTGTTTCTTCTTATTGTATAATTGTTTGCCAGTCTCCTCCATTAGGCTGTAACCTCCTCAAAAACTGGATCTGGGTCCCGCTCATCTTTGTGTCTCTCAGCCTTTGGTACAGTGCTTAAGCTCATCCCCATGCCTGATGTTTCTATCTGTGCGCAGGGTATACCATTATCAGATTACTCCTGCCCTCTCCAGGCTTTTGACATAGTCCACATGAGGAGAAGTGAATGGATTATTTGGCGAGTCAGGAAGAGCCTACTCTATGCCACTCTCCATGTTCTCTTTGGAATGAATTTTCTACAGGAGCATGCAGTCTCTTGCACTCTTCCATACTGGAAATCTTACTGCCCAGTGCTGCCACCACTGAGTGGGCAAGCCTACCTACTTCTGAGGTCTAGTAATATAAAGCACATTTCCATACAGATATTGAAGAGTACAGGGAGACCTGGTTGTAAAGGTAGATTCAAACCAGATTATGGAAAAGATCTTGTTATAACTTTATGGCGTGGCATTTCAGCAAATTCCTTAAAATGTATGGTTATTGATAAAGAATGGAAAGAGTCTACATGACTAAGCCCAAAATATATTTGGGCTTTTGTTTGTTTGTTTGTCTGTCTATTTTTGGTGTTTGGATATTTTTGTAGTGAGGGATGGGTGGTTGATTTTGGGGGTTTTGTTTTGATTGTGTTGAGGAGATGAGGATAAGGTGTCAATTTTTTAAAATTTTGTACAGAGTTCACCTTTGGGTTTTTTTTAAAGTTACTATATATGAAGGCATTAATAAACCCATCATTTGATGAATAGACCTGTTAAATTAGGTGGGGTTTTTTTTAATTTTTATTTATTTGACAGAACTAGAGAGAGAGACAGCGAGAGAGGGAACACAAGCAGGGAGAGTGGGTGAGGGAGAAGCAGGCTTCCCGCTGAGCAGGGAGCCTGATGCAAGGCTCGATCCCAGGATCCTGGGATCATGACCCAAGCTGAAGGCAGACGCTTAATGACTGAGCCACCCAGGCGCCCCCATTTTTTTTTTTAACGAAGTGTGGTCTGGGACCATCTGCCTCAGAAATACCTGGAGAGCTTTAGAATAGAAATTTCTATGCCTCACTTCAGATCTGCCTGATCAGAATCCCTGGGGGTGAGGCCTAGGAATATGAGTTTAACATTCTCCTCAAGTGATTTTTATGCTTATTGTATTAAGGGCATCACCTGCCAACAGACAGGCTAATTCAATTTAAGTGTATCTACAAGAGGAAATTGTGTGTGTGTGTGTGTGTGTGTGTGTGTGTGTGTGTGTGGTTATTGCTAAATCAGATTATTGACCAGAATGATTACCATTATAGTCCCTTTTTCCTGTAGACCAGGACAGCCCTGCTTACTCAGCCAAGGATGTCATCAAAACCCCAGCTGGGCCTTTTGTATATGTCCATTTCACGTCTCACTGATAGGTCTTATGAACAAAAACTAGAAAAATTATGGACAGTTTTAAAACCTTTTTAAATTTACAGACAGGGCGCCTGGGTGGCTCAGTCGTTAAGCGTCTGCCTTCAGCTCAGGTCATGATCCCAGGGTCCTGGGATCGAGCCCCACATCGGGCTCCCTGCTTGGCGGGAAGCCTGCTTCTCCCTCTCCCACTCCCCCTGCTTGTGTTCCCTCTCTCGCTGTGTCTCTCTCTGTCAAAAAATAAATAAAATCTTTAAAAAATAAAAAATAAAAATAAATTTACAGACAAACACACACTTTCAAAAAAAAAAAACCAAGAAGAACATTTGTAGTTCTTCCAAAGAATCCTAGCTTCATGGAGTTTTCCTCTTGGGAGTCTAAATGACTAGAGGAAATAGGCAGGAACTTCACAGGAACATTCTTAGGCATCCGTTGCAAGCTTATAACCACACGCTGCCTTCCTTCTGTTTGAAAGTGTGGGGAAATGCTCTGCATAAGCCTGCTTTGTTTCTCTTTATAGATCATGCAACAGATGAGTGACCACCGCTATGACAAACTTACTGTGCCTGATGACGTGGCCGCCAACTGTATATACCTAAATATCCCCAGCAAAGGCCACGTCTTGCTACACCGCACCCCAGAAGAATATCCAGAAAGTGCAAAGGTAAAAAAACATCCTTCCTGGCTACTGCAGCTGAGCAGTCCTCTCTGTGACAGCCTTCCTGCCTGGGGATTTTTTTCATGATGGAGTGACAAATAACAGGGACTTCCTTTTCCTCTATACAGGTCAAATCATTATGAAAGCAGAGAGGATACTATAATTTTAGGGCACGAGGAAAATTAATTTAACTCACTCTTCTCGTTCATGTCACTGATTACGAATGCATGCACAGTAATTGAGGTGATCATGCCTGGTATTCAAAACTTTTCAAATAAGTACTTAGATCTCCCAAGCCTATGCTGCAGTTCTGATTACACGTATCTCCCCACACTTAGATACGCAGTAGGCATAGAGACCTACAATTAGATGGTCAACTGTGTCATTGTTTTCTGACAAATCTGAGCTGCCCTTCATCAGAAGGGCATTTGTTTTTTAACGACAGAGAAGTGTGAATGACCCAAAGAGGTGGGTACTTATTGTCAGGGCTGCAAAAAGGGGGCTTTTGGCTGTGCATCCCAGTTAGCAAAGGATCAGAAAGAGCAAAAAGATGATATACTTACCATCAGGCACCTGTCCCTCTAAGAGCTTCTGCATTTGTGCCCCAACACAGGAATTGTCCCCAGATATGGAACTCTTTCCTGGTCTAAGAAGATGTTCCTTGTCCTTCCGGGCATCTGCCAGTCTCTTCTGCACATGCAGACATAGCAGCGCTCATCCATAGACCCTCCAAGGGTCCATATCTGTTTTAGACATTTCAGCATCTTCATCTCTGCCCAGAGGAATCATTTGCTTACACTCACCATTACAGAAGAGACTTTAATAGCCACTGATTTTTTTGTTTATGTATCTTAAAAATTTTTAGCTTTAAAAATTTTAGAAAATATTTTGGCCACCTTTCAGATATGTGATATTGTGTAATCACTATGCTTATCTTCTGAATCAGTCATCTTCTTAGCAGATAAAAAGAAAGGGGTGGGGAGATACATAGATGATTTCTCTGTTTCCATGGCTGAAAGTGTGAACCTGAGGAAAATAGAGGACCCCTGACCCCAGAATGGGGCTTAACCAGCTCTCAGATGAATAGAGGGTCTCATATGTTATTGTGCATTAGGATTGTTAAAAATGCAGGCTCCTAGACCCCCACCCTAGAATCTGCAATTTCAACAAGAAGTGAGTCACAGAACTCACTTGGAGAAACACAGCTCTGGACCGTTCATCCTTCTCCAGTCACACTGATCATCTGACGACCAGATGATGATTAGCTGCTTTGGATTCAGCCCTGTGTCTCTCCACAGTAACGATGATAACATCCACGTTCACTGAGACTTCCCCTGCGCCAGGCACTGGGCCAAGCCCAGTGTGCATTATCTTGGTTATACCCCACAGCAGCCCTGTGGGGGCGCTCTTGTTAACTCTAATTTTACCGAAGAGTAATCCAAGGCTAAGAGGGCATCTGGCACTTGGCTGAAGTCACATTTTAGGTGGTGAGTTGACAGAACTAGGTTTGGAGCCCAACTCTTGCTCCAGCACTCTTAATTAGCCACTGTAGTGAATTTTAAGGAACAAAGTGCTTCCTAAAGAAGCATGGTAGATTGTTTTTTTAGACAGTGTGTTTCAAGTGATTTTATATTTTTAAAAAACTGTGCTTTATTTGATCATCAGAGAAACATCTGTGGCCTGTTAATTCAAAGTTTGGACACATGCTTTCTATTAGTGTCAAAAGATGCTATAAAATTCACACCTGTAATTTAAAAGCAGTTTGACCTGAAATGCTTCACTTAAAGTCTATTTTGTCAAGTTCTTCCAGTGGTGTTGGAAGGAAAGAGACCTTACAGTACAGTTGAGGGGGTTTTAAAGTGTGGCAAGGAAGGATTTTCAGACTGAAAACACCACCACTAGCTCTCCCGTATCACTCAACGTTCCTGTGACAACGGCAGAGTGAAGTCATCTCTCGTGACAACCACATTTTTGACACATCTCTGGCTTTGAGGTTAAAGCATAGAGCTCGTGGTTAACCAGTGCCGCCTGCTCCGTTGGTATGGCTGGGGGCACGTGTGGTCTAGACTGCATGCACGTCTTCGGGTTCAACAGCTGAGAAGCCTAAACTCAAAAGCCAAATGCATTCTCACACTAGGGGAGGAGGTGGGGGGCGGGGAGTAGGGGTAAGACAGAGGTGGAAACATAATCCTTCTGCTTTACCTTTCCTTGATTCCTGCTGCAGGTTTATGAAAAGCTGAAAGACCATATGCTGATTCCCGTGAGCCATTCTGAACTGGAAAAGGTGGACGGGCTGCTCACATGCAGCTCGATTTTAATTAACAAGAAGGTAGACTCCTGAGTCGAAGTCCCCCCCCCCCCCGTAGCCGGCAATACCGCACTCACAAGGCCAATGACTGTCCCACTCCTGTCGTGTTCATTGACAATCTACTGCACCACTGTGCTATTAACCCTGGTTTACAAAAGTCTCCTTCTAAGTTTGCTTCGCTCTGCACCCTCCCCTTCCTCCCCTTGCCGTGGTACCTAAACTGTGGGTTTTGCTAAATGAATTAAGCAATCTAGAAAATATAGAGCTAATGAATTATTGAACTGTGATTAATAATAGTGAAGAAACACTCATTTCAGTGTTTGTATTATCAGTGTGAATATATATATGCTGTTTAGTTGCCAATATATGCTAAAGAATGTCTTCTTGATCAGTCAGATAGGCCAGGGTTGTTTTGTTTTTTTTTTTTTCCTCTCTGTATCGTTAATCATCTTTGGTTCCTGTGAAATTCCCTGGTCCCTGGCTTCTCTCCTTTTCCTTCCTTTTTTTCATCTGAACTCTGGAAATTCGTTGCCAGTTACTTTCTTTTGCCTTTCTCACTTCTATTACCTTGGGTAAAATCCACAGTCTTGCCTTCTGGATACCTTCCTGCAGGTCCCTCCTGTCTGCCACATTAGCCTCCTCTGGCCCATGGCTGCATCTTCAGCCACCACCCTCACTCTCCCCAGGAAGGGCAAATGGGTTCCTCAACAGAACTGTGACCAAAATCAGAACGGCTATTTGGGGGAGAGTTAACCAGGCAGAGGCATATCCTGATGGGGTTTGTCCCAGAGATCTAAATTCCAGAAGAAGTAGGGTACCACACCTAGGAAGGTAAATTCAACTCCAGAGGGTTACTAGAGATCATAGATCAAGAAGCCTGGAAACACCCAATGGGTACATCTCAGAAAGTCTTTAAGTCACATTCCATGAATTTTTGCTTTATTACTGACCATTTATAGACCTTGGGGAATAGTCTTATTTTTTCCTTCAGCTCATTTCTCTTCCCACCCCCACTCATCGTGACTCACCCTACTTCCAGCCTTCTACCCCCTGTAATTATCCTGGTCTAGCAAAGTTACTTCTTTCGAAAGAGACATTGCATCTACAAATGATTATTGATGGTCTAGCAAGAGCCAGATGAAGCATGTTCAGGAAGTGATCAGCTTAGTGCTTGAAACCACAGACAATGGACAATTCTGCTTTGAAATATCTATGAATATATACTGTGGAATTCAATTAAAACTTCTTTCCTCTCTAGCTTTTAAATTACACAACATGACACTGATGCTGGTCTCTTACAAAGAACAATGCCACAGTGAAGGGAGCGATCATTGTCTTTTACTTAAACCTGAAAGAATCAGCCTTTTAGCAGGCCAGGGAAATGGTACTTTCCAAGGAATGGTGACTGATCCAGGCATGTTATCAAACTTCCTAGTCATCTCCACATTTCCTGTATTGCCTGTAGCTTGTTGTTCAAGATTAACAATCAGAGAGATTAAGAAATATGACTTCGAGGCTTGCTCTGCTTACCTATGTGTTTCTTTTTTTTTTTTTTTGAAGGTTTATTTATTTGAGAGAGGGTGCATGGGTTGGGTGGGGGAGGGGTAGAGAGAATCTCAAGCAGACTCCCCGCTGAGTGTGGAGCCTGACCCGGGGCTTGATGTCACGACCCTGCGATCATGACCTGAGCCGAAATCAAGAGTCAGACGCTTAACCGACTGAGCCACCCAGGCGCCCCTTACCTATGTATTTCTAACCAAACATTTCTTATGATTGGTGACCAAGATAGAATTCCCTCCATTCATATCTCCCCTTAGCAAATGGAAGTGATAAACCTCTGAGAAGACATCCTTAACCACCACCTATATTTTTCATTTATTTGATGATTTTATGCCAGAATTTGAAGAAATTCCTGCTCCTCCTATTTGCTTAACTTTAAATTCATTTCCATGCAGGTATCTCAGTTACAGCATCCTATGAATGAACCATATCTTGGTCACTGTCTTATTTCGAAGTGTCTCATCATGGGTAAAGAGTGTGTTTTCACCAGAAAGAAGATGATTGTTACCCACATGGTCTAGGCAATAAGGAAAAATTGTCCTCTACGATTATGGTTGCCCTTTTGGGTTAAATCTGGCCCTGTGCTGGCAAAAGCAGAACTTCTCCCTGGGAGAGTCCAGCATCTCAAAAACAACCTCGGGAAAGTTAACCCAGTCAGCCACCTTAGGATTACTATTAAAGCTAAGTGGCATATAATTTTCAATATATTTACTTCTATCATCCCAAATTGAAGAACTGTATTATATTTAGTCAATTGCAAGTGAATCGATTTTTCTTTTGAACAATTTGTCCTATAGAGGGCTCTTTTTCACTTTTTCTTTCCTTTGCTTCTTTCCCTCTTTGCTCCTCTGTCTCAAAAAATCACTTAGAATCTACGTGGCTCTTCCACAGAATTGTTTTGTCTGCTATGTCACTGACTAAGACTGTCTTCTTTGTACTCCCTATGTGATATGATGGTGTGAAAAGCCAAAATATCTGCAGCATAGAGTAGTATTTTTTGATGTTCTCATCAGCATAATGTTATCTTTGCAGAGGGAAGATGACCCGTTACATAGGTTCCCCTCGAGTCCATTATGATTTATAAGGATAAATAAACTAACACAAGCTGCTCTTTGACATTGTAAAGACATTAGGAATTGCATTAAAGTAAGGAAAAGTTGAGTCCGAATTACTTGGTTAGTAAGATTCAATCTAACAGGGGCAATATAGAGAAAGTACCTTATTTAGCATTATCTCTTCAACTATAATGGATATAGAAATCAGCGGCAGATCTATAACGTGTATTGATTGCTCTTTAAGCTACTGTGAACAGATTACTAAGGCTATCTCTTCATCTCTAAAGGGAAAATAGTCTGTAGATGAATAATGTAACTTATATAGAGTTGCATGTTAGTCTTCATAATTATTTACTCTCTAACATTCTATAGAACTCAGACTTGGTCTCAACATGGTGTTAGACTTGTGCATTTTGTTTTACTGACCATCACATTCCAGCCAATGTATGGTTATCCACTCTGTGTGCCAAAACCAGTCTTGCCTTTCATGGCCCTCTAATCCAGAGAAGTTCTGCACTGATTTTAGTCTCTTGCTGTCCTGATGCTACAAGTATACCAATCACGATGGAATAAAGTGTGAATTGTACTGTGACCAACAGCACGTGTCTCTTTTTTTGCAACAGAAACTGCTGTAGGAAATGCAGTCACCATTGCTTTGCTGTCAGAGATGGGAAGTTTTCTCTGTTGTCCCATACTTAGAAATACTGTGCCTGTAAATCAATTGCCATCAAAAGCTTGGATTAAAATGATACCTGAAGTGATGCTTCATACTGCAAGCACTTAAAAAGCATGCATGACACCCATGCGAGGTCAAGAGGTCTTGATTTCACCTGTGCTCCTCCTTGGAGGCTTCTTTTTTTCCTTTTGTTCCTAACTGTGGTCAGCACATTATATGGCTCAGTCGTGGAAGCCGTGGAACAGGTTTTCCCTCATTCATGCAAGAGTTTGGTTGTGGGTTTTGTTTGTTTGTTTTACAGTAAGCATCTGTTAGGACATTTGAAGATTTTTTTAATGAGTCATTTTTTATTTCCAACCATTTTTTTCTAGCTGAAAGCAGCTTTATTGTTTTCCTTTTCTGATTGTAAAAATAATTGCTCACTGTAAAAATAAAATTGAAATAATACAGAAGAAACTATAAAAACAAAAGTAAAGAAAAAAAATTACCCAAAATTTCATCACAAAGAGATGCCATTGTTAACATTTTGAAAACTATCCACCCATCTATGAGTAGATAGAGATATAAATGTGGAATAATTTTACATCATCATGCTGTTCTATAGCTTGCTTCCTTTACTTAGCAAAAGATTGCAGGCATCTCTCCATGTCAATAAATAGAGATCTACATCATCAATTTTAACAGCCCTGAATATTCCATGATACGGTTGTCAAAGCAGCTCTTTCTAATTTATATGGAGTGTTATATCACAGATGTTCAGTATGCCCATGTTGCTAGTAGCCTGGGGTCTTCAAGCTGTCAAAAATGTGCTGATTATGAGGCTTCACACACACCCAGAGTTAGTTCAATCTGTGTCTTCTTATGGAAACTGAATGGTACGTGCAAATGCTCACTAGAAGCACAGACTCGTATTAAAATTCCTTAAAGAGGTCGTTGATGTGGTCATACCTTCTCAGTTGATGTTGCATTGATTAGTTCTCCCTTATTCAAGCCAGCATTGAAAGAGGCACAGGAAAAAAAAAAAAAAGCCAACTACCACCCCTGCACACCTGCCCTGGGCCCCCGTAGGCAATGGAACCCTCCACCTAAGTGCCAGAGTATTTACTCCTCACAGAAGAGAATGGAGACACTTTTTAAAGGAAGAGTTGGCAGGGTTTCCCTGACTGATCTTTCTCCCAGCCTTCCAGAAGGATGGCGGAAGGTAAGAAGGAGAAAAATCCCCTCTCGTGACAAACCGCAAATTGTGGAAATGGGACTTTTACTGAATGAATAATGCTGGTCAACAATAGTTTTAGACAGGTGAGCACATGTTTAACAGGCTCTAGGGTACTGCTCCTGTCTTTCCAGAGCTGGCAGTCTGGGAGGGGCTTGGAAGGAAGACTACACAAGATTACAAATGATTACAACACAAGAGAAGGTAAGGTAAGAACTAAAAAGAACAGCATTGTGGTGGTTCCCCAGAAGGGGAGACCTGTTGGAGGAACCAGGGCTTGATCTGGCCTTGGAAGAACAGCCCTGGCTTCAGTAGGCCAAGAGAGGAGGTCAGGCCTTTGAGGCGGAGGAAACAGTGTGAGCACAGGCATGAAGGTGGTAGAGCATAGCGAACACTTCAGAAGTGTCCGTCATGGATCAGTTAACACTACTAGACTCCGGGGGTACAATGGTGACAGGACCTGCTTTCCTGGAATTTACATCCTCAGAGGAAGATAGACATTAAACAAGCTATGGCATGTGCAGTGAACATTTGGAAGGAGAATGGGGTGCTCAGAGCAGATGACAGGGGCAAGCAAGTGGGTTTGTTTGGCTGACACGTGGGGAGATATAAGAGCACAGCGAGACCATGTAGATTGGGATGTCAACAGTCTGGCCTGCTAAGATAGGATATTAGGACTGAATTCGGCAGTCTGTGAGGATCTCCTGAAGACTTTGGGGCCAGGGAGTGATATTACTGGAGCTTGATATGGCAGCATTGTATAGGATTTTGGGAACTGAGACTGGCATTACTCTAAGTTTAATTTCCCCTAGTTTAATTTGTCATTTAAACATCTCTTCTCATCTCCAAAATGGAGCCTGAAAGCTGGGCAATTATTTCTCTCTCTCTCTCTCTCTCTCTCTATTTTTTTCTCTCCTGAAAAATTAATAACACCTTTCCCTCCCAACTCCAAAGGGACATTTTTGAACACAAATGAGATAAAAGGACTGAAGACTTCTTTGGAAGAAAG